AAAAAAATACACAATATTGGAGCGGAGAATGGTGAATGTGAGGCACCGTTGGGTTATACGAATGCTTCAAGGCCTTCCTTCTACTAAACCAACTGCCTCCATTACCGAGATACAGGGCGCTCATATTATAAGGTAAGGTTATAAAAACCATCTTTTAAGATCATTTTAGTGAAAGTTTCATGCTTCAAGGCGTACCATTCACTGCTCAAATACTAAAAAACCTGCTTCCATTGAAGATATAAAGGGCGCTCATATTATAAGGTAAGGTTATAAAACCACCTTTTAAGATCATTTTAGTGAAAGTTTCATGTTCCTATCTCATAGAATTTAAGAACAATGATGAATAAATCATTTTCGAGCAAAATTTAAATGGCCGGCTGAATATATTACCGCAGGAGACGCAGCTGCGGAATTTAAATTACCGCGTCAAAGGGCTAATCATGCTTCTGTGGCAACAAATATGCACACAATAGTGAATGAACTGCTGGGGGCTTTCTTTTCTATTCAGACTGTGTTGAAACTACATAAAAAGAGCCAGCAAGCTCCATGGGACTCATGACAGTAAAACATGGTGAGACACATGAACTTGGAACCAATAATTGCTGTGCTGACAAGGGCAAACAGCAATGCAGCATGACTACCAGAGATGTGAGGCAAAAATATGGCCATGAATCCTGCAGGACCCAGAACCATGAATAACTGTGCTGGTGGGGGCCAACAGCAATCTGCCCAGCTGAATGACTGGAAGCTGAAAGCATCGGAGAGGGAGTTGATGAGAGCAGAGCACTCAAGCATGGAAGTATTAAGGAAAATCCTTGTTATTGAGGCCATTACCGAGCAATGGGTATGTGAAGATACAGCAAGATGGAAAGACTTCGTAAGTGCCATTAGTTATCTGATGATTAAGAGGAAAAACAAAAGTTTTAATTATCTGCAATTAAATGCAATAAGCATTCAGTAAATTCAATTATTAATCCAAACCCTGTGTCTAGTCACCAGCCCGTGACAGTTATGACAGAAAAGTTATTCCCCAAGAGACTAAACTTGTGCATGTACTAAAACATCATGGCCTGATGACATGATACCCTGTGATTTTTAGCATGTCTGCATTATTGTGGACACACATTTGTGCTGGTGTTTAAAACTTACAATTACAATTCTCACAATTAAACTGTTTTTAATTCAAAGAGTACCAATTGAAGAGATTTTCCACTTAATTCTGAATGAGTACTGTAATATGATCTGCAAATGGTAGTGGGCGCTTTAGAACGTACTGTTGCAGAAGGGGAAATGGAGTGCAGAATTTGTGTATCAGCCCACTTGTATATGTATGCAAGTTCAGTACACATGGCAACATGGCTGGTGATTCCATTTAGCTTGTTACAACAATGTTTAAGCTTGAATAGAGGGAATTTAGACCAGATTATTTTTAAGACACAAACTTCGACCCTCAAGCTGGAGGTACAACATACCTCCGAAATGTCAGCAACACTGCCCAAATCCACGTGATGTAAATGCCCAACAACTGAATATAAACAGTTAACTATTGTAAAAGCCTAAAATCAGCAAACTATGGGCAATAAGAAGCATTAATTTATATTGTTACAATAATGTTCAACAGAAAGCATTTAGAGCAGATTAATTTTAATAAATAGCCTGTATTAATTTATCCAGTTCGTTCCATTTGTCACCATTACATGTCCCTATGGCAACACATTCTAAAACACCTGATCCCAGTGGCAGACTTTGTATTACTAATAATATAATTTTTAATTTCCAATAATGAGATTATGTTATGGTGTTTTAGTAATTTAGAAAAAAGATAAACACTGATAACAATTTTAACATTTTAAGTAACGATGCAATGGGTGAAACTCAAAGAACAGTCCTCAACAAATACTACCAGCATCCACGTTAAAGATATGGGGATTGCCACAAGTCAACACGAAACCGGAAAGTGTCAGAATATACATGTTCTCAGATTGGGAAGCCATAATTAACAAAGGATACTAGGTACAATACAGGATGAATGAAACCAAACTAGTCTACCACCACAGTTACCTAACTTTATGGCACAGTGTCTTTCTTCAGAGGCTAACAGGCACTTGCTACTCAAGAAATTCCCCACTTATCTGGCCTAAAATTCACTACTGTGTTCACGACAGCTGGTCACTATTTCCTATCATGAGCCAGATAAGTTCAGCCCACTTCCTTTCACTATATTTCTTGAAAATCAGTTTTAATGTCATCACCACAATTATTACTGTGTCTTCCAACAAGTCTCTTCCTTTCAGGTTTTCTGACCAAATTTTTATATACAGGGTGTCCCAGGCGGAATGGACCAAACTTCGGGAGGGTGTTCCTTATGTTAAAGTATGCCGATATAACCCAAAACACCTATGTCCAAAGTTGAACGGTTATGGAGATAATGGCCAGAGAAGTGTCAAACTTTGACCGGTGTTGCACACTTGTTGATTACAAAATACATATTAAAACTGGCAGGAATATGTGGATTCTGTAATGTTAATAATGTACATAACATAAAACTAACTTGTGAGTGACATGAAGCCATAAAATTGAAGTACAAAACACTCGCTCGCCATGTCATAATTGTCCTTAGGGTTTCCAAGCACTATACATGAGACATGAATGGCAAGTGCTGACGTAACGTGCTGACTGCGTGTTCTGATAAAGCCAACTACATAAGCACGGCTAGGGTGAATCACAGCACTCAAGGACAAACAGAGATAAGGCCTCTCAGCTGATAGGTATAATCTGTGGACCCGCTAGAAGACCACACTTTTCTTGGGCCATTATCTCCGTAACCATTCAACTTTGGACATAGGTGTTTTGGATTATATCGGCATACTTTAACATAAGGAACACCCTCCCGAAGTTTGGTCCATTCCTCCTAGGACACCCTGTATATATCTCTGAATCTCTCCCATATGTGTTACATGCTCCATGATTTAATAATCCTAATGTGAGATAAAGAGTACAAATGGAATTTTCTCCAATCTCCCCAATCCAAATATTCTCCTCAGCAACCTGTTCTCCAGTACCCTCAATCTATGCCCTTCCTTCATTGTGAAAGAAAACGTTTTGCACCCATATAAATTATAATTTAACTTTTACATTTTCTGACAATGGTTATCCCCATTTCATTGACTGAGTTATTAATTTCAAGAGTCATAGTCATCCAGGAAAAGAAGAAAAGCCTCTTGGCTCTGTGTACATCCCCTATGTGAAAGGTATTTCACAAAAGTTAAAACATACTGGGAATCATTACAAAATTAGGAACATCTTCAAAACAAAATGCACTCTGAGGAGTTCACTCATGAGAACCAGACTGAAAAGAGATCTGCAACAGAGGGCATATATGGCATCTACAGCATTCCCTGTCAATGTGGCTGATGCGACACTGGCGAAACAAGCAGACTGCTAGTGATGTAGCTCCATAAACAAGGGCACAAGCTCATGAATTTTAATATTATCTGTATATTAGAAGTTATTAATCTTTCAAGATTTTCCCATGTTCACCTCACAATTCGTATCACAGATCACTAGTATGCACTATTGTGTCGTTAGAGCAGCAAGCCAGACACCAAGAGAGACAGAAATATGTTTTAAGGTCAGATGTCAAGAGGTACTGATAATGGGGGGGGTGGAAGGGTCAAAGCTAAAAATCGTGGAAGGGGAAATCTAAATGCCCCCTTTGTGCCCCCAATAGGACATGGACCAACCTACAATGACAGGTTAATAAACTGTGAGCTGAAAATTCCCCTTAAAATTTCGACCAATGTATCCCCCCCCCAAACCTCGATTTAAAGTTGAATGCATTATGGCAATAGAGCATGGATATCTGCACTTATGGAATCCATCATTCCTCAATGAACACAGACAAAAATCCCTCTTCATAAAATTTCAGCAGATGCATAATTTTTATGGAGAATATGATAAAATTTCAACATGATATGACAACACCTAATGGATATCCATGATGATGGGAGTCCACAACATGAAATCTTGATTCACATTAAGACAAAAATTCCTCTTGGTATAACTGAAACAGATGCATAATTTTAGCTAAAAAATGTGATTAAACTTGAAGGACCCCTGGTATCCAGTGAATAGGCAGCTGGATGGGGTGCTGAAGAAAAAATTAAGTAGGGATAGAACAGTGGATTTCTTTTGAGTGCATACTCAGGTGGAAGAACTGGACATTCCTTCCATTAAGTTGCAACAACCAAAAATGCACGTTTGCTTTATGTAAGTGCCATTTAGAAAACTCTCTGCAGTTCTGGAGGTGAAATGTACTGACAGAACATCCCCACTATGTGTTCCTTTCATATACAGGGTCTGGCAGGAAAGCTTGATAGATTCTAAATTACTACAATGGAGCCAATTTTTATTTCTTTTACTTATTTTATTTGTCTCAGTACTTAACAATGTATGCCATTTTGTGTGTATAACTGCCAGCTAATTTCTTTTTTGAAAATTATGCCATCCAAATGCTTAATGCAATGGCATGCTTCATTCCAGAACGATGGGGATTAGTCACTACGGTCCGCCTAACAGTCTCAACATTCTCAGGTGTTCGGACAGTACATGTAACTCCAGGCAGTTTCTTCTTTATTGTTGAGCCAGTTGATCTGAAGTTTGCAATCCACAGCAAATTCACATTCTTATTGGGAACTTTACCGTGACGACCCACATTAAAATGCAGATGGAAACATCACTCAGTCAGAATAACACAGTCACCAGTTTTAAAAAACGTATCCATGACGAAAGCACGATGTTCCACGGCCCACTGTTCCATGTCTACTGAAATGGCATACTTTGAGCTGCTGAAGGTCAGTGAGCCCTCTCTTCCCACACCACCATTTCCCAAACTAGTGCCAACTTAAAAACGTCAGGTTTCTCTGCCAGACCCTGTACTTTATACAAGAAAGATACAAAATTTAAGGCAAATAGAGAAATAAACACAGGCACAAGTCATTACACAGAACATCTCAAAATTTATATCATTCAAAAAACAGTGCATACTTAAGCCTCATATGTCCATGAAGTTCTTGCAGAAGTCGCTGGAACTTACTTCTGCGCGAGTTCTTTCCCAGCCATGCTGGAAAGTTGATTTGGCAAGTGAAGTGGCCTTCCAATAAATCACCAGGCAAAACGCTTGAAAATATGGCCTGAACAAATGAAAACATCCACAAAATTACTTTTTATCATAACTCAATATCACAAGTTTTGAGTAAACAGACTGCACACATGTACACACACATACAGGGAGGGCCCAAAAATGTATACACATTATAATACAGGTTTTCTATGGATATTTTCAAAGTTGAATTAAAATGTAATGTACAGTGTGTAGTGAGTGATTCTCCCAAAAGATGGTGCTAGTCAAATGAATGCCTGAGCCACCTTATCAAATGGCAGGACAGTCAAGCAGTGAAAGATAATTTTGAAGTGGTGCTGAAAATTTGAGCATAGTACAAAGATAATAGTGGCATGGATTTACACTGGAACCTTCAACATGATTAACAATTGCATGCGTGACAAATTTGAAGCTGATGGTACAGTGCATGATGTGCACAAGCAAAGGTCTGGGAGGCCTTGCACAGCAATGACTCCAGCCTCTTCTGCTGTGGCACTGAACAGTTTACACTGTCACCGCAAAAGTCCGCATAACATCGTGCATGTCAGATAGGAATTAGCAGATCATGTGTACAACACATTCTAAAATGTGCTAAATGGAAAGTTTACATCTCAGCATTGTTACATGCCATGAATGAAGACAATCCCCATCAAAGAGTACAGTTTTGTGAGTGATTAACATAAGGTATACAAGGATAAAGAGTTTGTGAGCAAAACTGTTTGGGCTGATGAGGCAATTAAGCAGAATGGTACAATTAATCACCATAACTGTGTGTACTGGGTTCCAGAAAATTCACACATTCATGTGGATAAAGTGGATAATTTGCCAGGACTCACTGTCTGGTATGGACTGTCAGACAGGAGTTTAATTGGACTGTTCTTTTTTTTTTTTTTTGAAGGAACAATTACCTCAACATGCTTTGGATATCCATTTTACCTGCAGTTCATCAGCTCTACAGGAACGAGCTGATGGAAACTGTTTTCTGGGACAGGAAAGAAGTGCTGACAGTGGAATTCATGTAACAAGGGACAACATCAGAAGACTAAACAAACTGCGTAGGGCCATTCAGGACAAAAGGCATGGAATGCTGATATCTGGTGCACTTGCAGTGTTCCTCCATGACAATGCATGTCCACATACAAGTACAGCTGCTCACACTTAAGCACTCCTGCAGGATTCAACTTGAAGTTGCTTGACCACCTTCTTCTTACAGCCCTGACTTCGCTCCAAGTGACTCGCACCTGCCTGAAGAAATGGTTGCAATCACAGTGCACAGGTGGCAGACTTCTTCGACACAGGCATACAAGAACTTATTCCCCAATACAAGTGCCTCAATTCTGGTGGTGACTATATTGAGAATTAGCTCAAGCATGTATGTATTTTTATACATAAGAACATTTTTTTCTCATTGTTTTGTTAACAGCTCACCAGAGGTTATTTCCGAATAGCCCTTGCATATGACAGTCATCAACACACAAGGAAGACTGTATCTGGTGGCTAACAACATTGGATACATCACTGATAGAAACAGCAAAAAAAGTGGCACTCAGGATAAATTCTTGTAGTACACAATTTCACTGGATAAGCAATAAGTGAGAATTCGATATTCAACAGATGTGGAACCAGTTATCCATCATAAAATTTGAGAAGTGGCAGACGTCCCCTCAGATATAAATACACCTGTGTATGTACAAGGGAGAGTCAGTAAATAGGTCACAAAGGGATACAAAACGTAAAATGTGTGATATTCAAACCTGGAAAAAAACATTTATTTCTCATTGAAACTCACAACACATTAAGTCTTTTGACTGTTGTCTCACCCAATTCTGCATCTCTGTTTCAATCTCTTAGTCATCAGTGAAAACATCTGCCACATTTCTTGACCCAGATGTGAACCACTTTACGCAACAAACACTTCCTACCATAAAGAGAAAACATCTCTTTGCATCGAGCCATTTTGTCCACTTAAAAAAAAAACACATATATATACACAGACAACAGAATGCCTCCTCAAGCATGTTTGCCATTCTGACTACTTTGACTACTAAAACCAGCATTTGAACATGCGCATGTGTCTCGGCTACCTAGATGGTCATGAAGCTGGATTCTGTTGCTACCTAGTGATACAGATAGAAAACCTATTATGTTTATCACAGATGTTTTACTTCAATTTGTGGCTTATTTACTGACTCTCTTGTATGTATGTACATATGCACATATGTATTGTGACATGTCTGCTCAAAGCCATAATTGTGGAGCCAGAAGAGATGGCTGTTGCCAGGGAATAGCTCAGTAAAAACACTTCAAGGGCAACATTCCTGAGCCTAGATATTTAAATGTTTTCTTTAGCTCAGTGTGTGTCCACCCTGCTGATTTTAACTTCCTTGGTGGCAGTGTCACCTACTTACAATCTTTCAGCTGGTTCCTCATGGGATGGTGTAGGGCATGAGACAGCCACGATTAAAAGGTCTCTCCTCTGGAACTGTTGGTGGCAACCTTCCAACGGGGTGATAAAGAAAATAAGCACTAAAAGATTTTGTCAGTTCTGGTGTGGGAACATCACCATAAACTGGGCTCAGCAAACATCCACAAAGTTCTACTCCCATTATTGCAGCAGAAGTCAGAACGCCACAAATCCATCCTGCGTAGATGAAAGTGTAGTGTGAAAACCACACTTTTATGTTGGTACCATACAGAGAATTTGTCTCTTCAGTGATGACTTCTATTCTGATAGTATTCTGATTTTAACAACAATAGCTGTAAAACAGTGCATGAACATAGGTGTTAGGCCTCATGTGTGTGGAGTTCTTTTAATAATTTTAATGTTTGCTTAACTCTTGCATATGGTTTATATATCCCATCTAGTATTGGTGCTGCTGTCTGGAGATAGGGGCTAGCTCTATCGATTGGTCTCAACTGAGAAGATTTCATCTGAAGATGGAGATAGAATCCAGCCTCCAAAGCGTTGTGTGTTTTAAATAAAAATAGGATACTGTATAATGTCCAGAAATACAATAATTGTATCCACAAAGGGCCTCAAAGAGAATTCTGAACGTAATGGAAATTCTTCCATCATCATCAGTCCATAACCTTAATGCCATTACCATGAGATAAGCAACCCACGTCTCCTCAGTCTACACCATGTAGCTTGGTGGAGTTCTGACTGGTTCCAGGAGACTTGTGATTCAGCAGTAACATATTATAACAGCATAGACAGAACAATGGCCAGTGTCGGAAGTGAACTCCCAACGGTATGCTACATGGGTGGGCATGAGTCATGATCCAGTCTCCATACCTGGACTTACATAGAGCAGAAGTGAGAAAGGCCCATTCATTTATCATTTACAAGGCCTATATAAAGATGCACAAGGTGGAAGCATACCCTTGAAACCGCAGGACATAACGACAAACTAAAGAGCCATGCCATGGAGAAAAGATTTAATAAGACTTATGGAGCTTAAAGTTAATTAACATAACCCCAGAAGTGGAAGAAGCTGCATAATCAACCCAGCCAGGTGTGGCAAACATAAAATGAGTATCAGGAAAAATGTGGTGATGGTCAGTTCATGCAATCTTAGACCTTGAAACTACTGAGGTTTGGAGTTTGCTTAGGCATTCAGTGTGCAAAGGTAATCAATGTTTACAGAATGTAACAATGTATTGAAATGAGACAAGGCCAAAAATGAAGGACATAGAAAACCTGAGGGCCCACTTTGCATCCACCTGTCAAGACACAGACTGATCTACCTTGACAGAAATAATCTAACACTGTTTAACCTTTATCCTATGGCCCTTTAAACTTAGGTTGTGGCAACGGTACGGAGTTCTTTNNTTAACATATTTCAGAACAATATCCGCTTAGAGTATCAAGAGCTGAATCTGAAGATACCACTGACCTGTGCAGGCAACAGACTCCATGCACTTTTACTTCTGATGGTTTTTTCTACCATATCCCCTGAACTGAGGCTCTCTGCTGTCTGAGCAACAAGTTCCAAATGTCTCTTCCTGTTGTTCCTGTAAATAAGTTCTGCATTATACTCAAAATCATACTGGAAGTGAAACATTAATTACAAGCACATATTGCTATATGTTGCTTTGGATATGGTTTTCTGTATCAATATTGCAATATATATATATATATTTTTCCCCCTTGGCACTACAGCCCCAGTGGGCCGAGGCCTACCTCCATGAACTTCTCCGATTGCAATATATAGTACCCAAAATTTTAAATAAACATAATACCCAGACCTACAAAATTGAAACTTACTCTAGTAACAGAAAACAAAATTAAGATTGCAGATTTCAATCACATCCAAAAACTGTACCACTGTACTGCCATCTCTCTTTAACAGCCACTTATGTACAGGGAAGGGTATGGAGTCAATGTTATATCTGTATGCCTTCTACAAGTATAATAGGTGCTTGAGAGAAAACAGGACACTAACAGTTTCTTTGTTATCTATATAATGATGCTGTCAGCAGCATCAAATTATGGGATGATTAATGAACTGGAAAAGGTGTTAAGGGAAGCAGTCCTGGCCTGGTTTGAAGTAATATCCCGGCATTTCTTGGAAGGATTGAGGAAAGCCAAGAAAAAGTCATAATAATGAATGCCCAAACCAATTTTTGAATCTGGTACATCCAGAATACAAGTCACATGCATTACCTCTTGAATGAACTTGCTTTGTGAAAACTGAGAGAAAAGGTGTGTTTTATACACATACGGTAAACTTCCCATTAACCAGCACATATGGGGAATGAGGTCTGCTGGTTACATGAGAAACACTCTTACAGAAACCAAATATAATGTTCAAATAACATGATCTCACTCAGTTCTTGTGTGGCAGTCTTCCTAGATGTTAAGGCAGATTGAAGGGTGAAACATTTTGGATACATGTACTATAACACAATGACAAATTCAGCTAATCTCTACTGTAATAGCACATACATCAAGAAGGATAACATGTAATGCTGCCAGAGGCTGAGGGTGAATTTCTGCATTGCAGGCACTGCAAATTTCTTCTGGAATAATTCATTAAAGATGGTAATTTTTCTTTGAAATTTCTGCTGAATACTTGAGAATTCCTGATGCCTGGATGCAAGATAACTAGGAGTTTAATGTACACATTAGCCTTTAAGAGCCTAGCGACACCGTATGGAGACCTTTAAAGTGTAGCCGAGTGGCCGTGCAACACGGTGTGGGTACGCACAGTCCACGTGTGTGCACAGCGTTTTAAAATCTAATTTTAAGATAAAAATTCTTGTTCTACTTACATTATTTTTGGGCACCCGCTTTATAAGCAGACAGTCCAGTCTTCCCACCTGCGTCATCTAACTGAATGCAGAGTCTGACGTCACAATTCATGCACTTTGTCCTGATGTAACTCCGTTTCCCACGCGAAGAGCACACACGACACCTCAGTCTCATATTAGAGGAAGTTGGCCAGTGATGTCGAGTGGCCTCCTCTAATCGTAATGCTTATAAAACATCGCAATTTCAACTATCCACCATGGCCTCATTTTGCATGGAAGAAGCCGAAATTGAGAGGCCGCTCATAAATGACACCAATTCAGAATGCGGTACAGACGACTCTGAAAGTGGCAAGGAAGCAAGGGGGCTATTCCGAGAACAGTACCTCTGTGTGGCTAGTCTGAGATATGCACAGTCAGAGTTTCTGAAGGACAAAGTACCATAAGACTTCACCCACATTCGTGCATACAGAAAGGTTCCGACGTGACTGGAGAATGTGCAATACAAACATAAACTTCCTCCCCATTTGCCAGACAAGTTATAGTAAGACAGGATGTCAGCAGCATGCATTTATACTGCAGAAACTGTAAGCATATTTGTGGACAGATGCTCGAAATTGGGGGAATTTTTTTTTTTTGGAATCGGTGTAACAAGTTTTACAGATTTTGAAATCTGCAAATTACAATATCTGATTCTATATTCTTTCTAGATAAAAGCAGTGTTTATTTCATTCGTTTATCACAAAAATTGTAGAAATCACAGCATTTTCAGTAACATGCTTACAATTTGTAATACTCTACAATGGCGGACATTTAAATTTACTCCGGCCTACTGCCATTACGGGAATTTAAATGGCCCGTCTCTTAGGTTAGACAGCATTTCAATATATAAATGCTCACCTGCTTTTATGGGGCATCACTCCCAAATAATTCTCTTGTACAAAGAGAGGCCCTAGACTGTAGTCATGGAAGAAGAGGTCTGACTTATCATGAATTGACATTGACTTGTGGACATCTGCTGAGAACACTTTCTTCACGACATCCCAAGGCCCCTAAAAATTAGGAATTTATCACTATTAAACATCTCTAAATATTATTAAACTGCAATTTTTCCTTTTGCACAGGCAATTAGGCTACAAGAGTGATGTCACTGGACTGTGAGGCAGAACACCCACTTTCATCTAAAACTGAGATATACACCCACTCCCTTATAATCTTCCTGGTATACTGTCAGGGACAATAGCACCTTTACCTTTGCATTGATGTGAAATCTGTTCTCTTTAACAGTCACACAAACACTACAAGTCGAAAAATAGTGCTGAGAATAACTGGTCCATAGGGACAGAATGTGAGAGGATGCTGGAGAAAATGATGAGGAAATTCATGGTTTTTAATCTTTGACAAATAAATAAAGGAGAACGACATGGGACAGCCACACAGAACACACATGAGATGAGAAATGTGTACAAACTGTCAATTTGGATACCTGACAGGGAAACCTACTGCTTTAACATTTTTTGGGCACAGTAAGCCCATAAAAATTATGAATGATAGTATCATATTACCTAGGACTGCGACACAGCTCAAGTGGTTAGTCGCTGGCTTTCCACCATGGCAGCCCAGGTTCGATTGTGGGTCTGATCAAGTGGGATTTGTGGTGGACAAAGTAGTGCCGGGTCAGGTTTTCTCAAAGTATTTTGGTTTCCCCTGCCAATCTTCATTCCACCAATTGCTCCTCAATCACCCTCACCTATCATCTGGGGCTGGTAAAATAGGCCAGAAGTGGCCTCAGTATAAGGGACGTAGTCCCACCCCATTAGCAATAAAAAAAAATCAAATTACCTTAGAAGTTCAGCTGGGTGTGTTAGTCGTGAAAACATTCCACAGAATCCCATGTCTCACGCGTGCGACAAGTACACAGTATTTGACACACAACACACCGTTTCTGTGGTTTTGATTTCTTCGTAGTTGGTGGAATCTTGCTTATAAAATTTCTTTCTCTTAGACGGGACACTGTTTTGTCAGACGAATGTCGACCTGGCACTTTGTGTTCTACAGCATTAGCATATTTCACAGAGAGTCCCTCAATTAACTGAATTCTGATTGACAATTGATCTATTCTTTTCCTTGTGTTATTCCTACATATTATCATCACATTCAGAAATTTTCTTTTTGTCCCTTATAGTTTTGCATATTCTCCCAGTGGATGCTTGTGCTATTCTCAATTCTGTCATTTACCACAGAATCAAGAAAAGCACAAACATTCATTTTCAGTGTCTAATTCCGAATCTGATAAAACTTTGTTCTGACTTGGCTTGAAGTAAATACATTCTTCACTGGTCATGACACAACACAGCTGACCACTTCATTCCTTGCAGCTGGCCTTGGCTAACCAGACTGCATGATGCGTATTTATAGAACAAAGGGGAATTACATTAGTCATCATTCATATAGTGAACTGTTTACCATTTGCTATGTAGCAGTCATAACACACTTCTTAGAGTCAACATCACATCTCAAAGTCGTAGATTCTCCATGTGTCTTCTCGTAGCTACAAATACCAATGTTGAAGCAGCACAGTTCAGAATATGCCTCAAGAGAATCAACTTTTCATTCAATCAGGATAGAGGATAGTACAGAGTATCGATCTAACATATTTAGATCATAAGAATTCCCCTAGGCAGAGGTAGGTTTGTATGGTAACAAGAGCACCAAGTGTTGAAGCTGAAAATTTTTCAAAGAATTCAAATGTATTACAACGCCCGCAGGAAGTTCAAAGTGGGACGACGAATATACGAAATGACAGCCTGCAATTCCCTCTTTAATTTCATACCAAAAGAATTATTTTACATGAAAAACAACGGTTCAAAATACGAGCTGAAACTTAGAGCTGAAATACGCGTACAGTGCACTACACTGGCGGCATGTCACAGAAACTGCTGGCATGCAGTGCACCGAGCCCGGAACTAAAGGGTTAATAATACACTCAGTAACTCTGACTATATAATGTTGAATGAGTAAATACTGAATTGGAAAAGATGACAAAGGAAGCAGTCATGGCCTACTTTATGATGCTATCCCAGCATTATCCGGGGGGGG